CAAATCTCTTTATCTGTATCAGGCCCCCGATCTATCCTCAGATCTGTCTACATAGAATAGCTTATTAACCAATTTCTATTCTCTCTTCCAGTTATTCTTATACAGCAGTCTGTGGAATCTTATCTGGTTCAGTTCAGATGCATGTTGGGCCTTCAGCCCTGTATATGCTACTTCCTCTGACCCGGATCTATCTAGCCTCCTACCTTTGGATCAGTCGGTGCATATCCTACAATATCTTCTGTCACTTGCCCATCTCCTCTCTTACTCCATCCATTCTTTTCTAAATAGAACTTTTGGCTGTGGTGACCGAGGTATTTCTGTCAAACGTAAATCTTTCAATCCTGGCTCTTCTACTACTACTACAAATTCTGAATTTTGCCTCGCCTTCAGCATTGACAGGCTCGCTGTGTCCCTCTGTAGGATGAAATTGAACTGCTTTATTGAACTGCTTGCTTCACTAAACGTTCATGAACAGTTTTTTCTAGTTAAGTTCTCGGTTTCAGAAATATCCAGGGTTAGGTGCATTACTGCCGCTAAACAGTCTGAGACTCTGTGTCTCTCTTATTAATATATAATATCTGATATTTTGACAGCGGCCTTAGCACCTTCTAGTCTGAGTTCATCAGATCTCAAAAGGGTAGACAAGACTGACCCAGGTCAGTACTAGTCTGGGATGCAAAACCCTCTAAAGAAAACGGGGTTGCTGCAGCTACATGTAGTATTGGTTGTTCAGTAGATGGCCCTCTTCATGCTGGACCCAGCACACTGTATTGTAGGAGCAGAAGCTCTGACTACTTGGTTACTAAAGGTCCCATGACATTGTTTAGAAAAGCAGTGGAAGATCTCCCCAAAGCACCTCCTTAATTCAATTGGTGCAGCATGTATTCACTTCTCTACCTGACAGGGGTTAATGCATACAGTATAATGGCTGCCACCCATCTCCCAGGTGGGAACTGTGTATCAGCAGTGGATGAAGTCAGCCTCCTCTTTTACATACTGTAGAGTGCTTTTGGATGCTTTGGAGTGAAAAGTATTTTATAAGCTCAAGGTCTTATTATTATTAATATCAGATTCTTCAGAGCACGAGGTGAGACTCAAATATTGTCTATGACCACCAGTTTGTATACTCGATAAAGTTGATCGTTGTTATCAACCCTGCTGCAATTTATGTAATTTATTAGATTTAGAGAAATGTAATCTCTAAAGAAGAAAGAAACTAAAAGGTTCATTGTGGGAGTATTTGTTACATTGCTACAGTATTTCCACCTCTGTAACCATAAACTGATCTTCTTTTAAAAACTGATTAATCAGAATTAAAGGAAACTGTAAAAAAGCAATGTGAGCAGCAACAGTATGCTGAAGTTGGTGGAAACAATATTACCCTAATTGAATTTAGGGTAAATCAAGGATCGAGTGATGAAACAGCTAAACAAGCAAGCAGATCAATTAAAGACATCAATTAGTACTGGTCATTTAAAGAACTCAGCTTGAATTGAAACCAGCACACACAGCAGTTTCCCCAGGACTGAGAACCAGGCAGAGCAACAACAGCAACAGCAGCCACAGGCCACCGAGGAAGAAAATCGATCAAGTGTGTCTTAGCTGCTGACAGAAACAAGTGGCTGCTGTCCCTGTTTGAGAAAGAGTGATTTCCTTTAGTTGTTGGCCATGTGACTGACTTCAATGAGTACACATTTCATGATTTGCGCCTTACTGTTTTTCGTCTAAAGTGCTGAGATTTTATAAAACGAATAGTTCATCACACTCAAAATGGCCATAGCATTGCACACAGCAATTTAAGCAAAACAGAATGGTTTCTTGGCCTTTACAATGGAATCTACATAGATTTTATTTGAATTGGGCTACAAAAATAATAATTCCTTACACTTATGTAGAGGTTTTCTGGACACTCCACTCAGTGTCCAGGTAATGGACATTGAGCGGTCAGCTTTACAATGGGGACTCCCCTCCACCACCACCAGCGTGCAGCCCCAACTGGATGATGCGACAGCAGCCATAGTGCACCAGTCCGCTCCCCATACACCAGCTCTCAGTGGGGAGGAGAGCAGAGTGATGAAGCCAGTTCAGAGATGGGGATTATTGGGAGGCCATGATTGGCAAAGGCCAATGGGAAAGTTGGCCAGGACACCAGGGTTACACCCTCTTCTCTTTTTGAGAAACTCCCTGGGATTTTTAATGACCACAGAGAGTCAGGACCTCGGTTTTATGTCTCATCCGAAGGACAACGCATTTTTACAGTATAGTGTCCTCCTCACTATACTGGGGCGCTAGGACCCACACAGACCACAGGGTGAGCACCCCCTACAGGGCCCACTAACACCTCTTCCAGCAGCAGCCTCACTTTTCCCAGGAGGTCTCCCATCCAGGTATGAGCCAGACTCACAGCTGCTGAGCTCCAGTAGGTTGCCAGTTGTGAATATGTACAGCCTGCAGCCAGTAGCAAGGTCTATTATATACACAATTCATTATTTTAGGTTTATTCCATGCTGAAAAGAGAAGAAAGGAAACACAACGTTTCAGCCCTGGGGCCTTCTTCAGGTGCGGAGAAGAAGCAGCCAAAACGTTGTGTTTCCTTTCTTCTCTTTTCAGCAGGGAATAAACCTTGACTTGTCCCTTTGCAACCTACGGATGCTGACGCAGCTCCCTACTCGAATTAATTGTTTTAGCCCCTTTCCAGGAAATACTTTGAAAATAATAGGTGGGAAAAAAACAAATCAAAACAAAGGTCATGTGTCCTTGAACTTGAAACCATGGGTTTATAATCCTGTGAGTAAGAAATGTATCTAACAGAACAGAAGGCACTTCTTTACCAATGGCGGTGAGAGAGTATGGAACAATAGCCTGTCTTGAAGTTGAAGCCGATACCCCTGTAGCTGGCGGATAAGATCATTAGATCAATTAGCTCTTAACTACCAAGCAGGCTAGACAGGACCCCCTCTAGTTCCTGTCAGTTTCACATGTTCTTATACCATTGTAGGATTACCCGTCACTGAACGCACAGTTGGTTTTCTGGTGTCATCTGGTCCAAATCCGGCGGCAATATGGTGCATCAGCAAAGGTAGACTTCAGAGTGGTAACTGGTGAGAATCTCTTCAGTCTCGGCAAAAAAAAAAAAACATTTTCAAAGACGACCTGATTAAGATTTCAAACGTTTGAAGGGAAATCAGTAAAGGTGATCCAAAGAGTTCATTCAAATCGGCTTTGGTGAACAGAACACAGGGACATAACTGGAAACATGTTGAGATTCAAATCTGCGGACACACTAGAAAATGTTGTGATTTTTACACAGAAATGCCCCTGTCCCTTTCACATGTTCCTATTTCATTGTGGGATTAGGAGTCACTGAACGCCCAGTGTCTGGGATCGTCTGGCCCAGATGTGAAAGGGACGAGGGACAGAGACGAGTGGCGCAGCTCGCCGAGGTGTAGGAGCTGCTCATGAAGGCTCTTCTCGCAGGTTCAAGTGCGAGAGCACATCCTCCCCCGGGCTCTGTTTGTGTGGGAGAGCTCAAGGCGGGGACCAGCCCCCCTCGCCAAAACACAGGATGCGTCGGTGGGGGCGGGGGACCTCTTGGGCTATTGTGTTGGCAGCAGCTGGCTTGTGTGTGTGTGTGTTTCCCCCCCTCCCTGCGTAATAAGTTTCATATATCATTGCAGCTACAATCAAATGCTAGTACGGAAAAAAGCTATTTCAAATGAAAATATATTTGAATGTATCACAAAGAAATACAGATATTTCAGAGTTGGAAAAAGAAATCGTGCAAATCATGTTTATTCTGGTTTCACATAAGTGCAAATTGGTAGTGTTGAATTGTAGACGTTAGGTACTTATTGAAATGAACTTTAAATTAAAACAGGCGAGGGGACAGTATTTAACACGTTACAGTCAGAAATGCCTTTACTGTGGGTTGATGCTGAATTTCCCATGAAGTGAAAGAGCTGTCTCAGTTAAGGCATTATTTACACACATATGTAGCCGTTTATATTGGCGGCCACTCTGAGAAAGTTTTTAAGGCTACCCATATCACTTTTTTGTATTGAATTTCTGGACGAAACGCATGTTTAGTAGAATTAGTTGCTTCAGTGTCCTCCACACAACAAGGCAAACAGTTTTTTTTTGTCTGGGGCGGTGCTTTCACAGCTTCGTCGTTGATCTTTTGTAGCTTATCTACAAAAGGATTACTACTGTAAATTTCATGCGTAATGTACCAGAGGAAAGTTGATTTCATACACGGTGTGTGTCGTGCTGGACAAGAACGTCTACTAAGCAGAGTGGGGGATATAATAAAGTGCTTTTAGTTTTTAGTTCCTGCTAAAAGTAATCTGTAAAAAATTAAGCCTCCTTTTCACACCGTACGATATTCTTGGAAACAGCGATAAATCACACCCGATTAAGTACTTAATCGGTTTGTGTTCCCGCCTGTTATCTCCCGTGAACAGGACCCTGCGAAGAATGCTTATTTTTTTAAAAAAAAAGAAAGCAAACGCAATCACTGCTGACCTACATTACTAAGCGATGAAAATATATTACGTTGTTTACACCGGAGTCTACTTTTTTTTTTCCTCCTTTCCATTAACTTTTACACCCACCGCCGCCTCCTCAACAACCCCCACAAGCTCTTTCCTTTGTGTGATTGAATTCCGCCACCCAGTTCAAACCACGCACGCAAACTCCCCAGCCAATCACAGCGCACATGTCCCCCCGCCGGCCAATTGCTTTGGCCGCCGCGAATTTTAAATCCCTGAACCGACCAATCACAGGCGCCCTGTTTTTTTTTCCCTCCTCGACTAAACTGGTTCAGTGCGGACTAATGGGAGGGGGGAAGGTGGCACACAAACTTGCTGTTACGGAACGGGAGAGGGGGTGGGGAGGGGTGGATCGTCGGAAGCCGTCCTGAGCGCCGCAGCCCGGCCCTCCCTCCTCACCAGAGAGGGTTCGAAACGGCGCTACCGACCAATAGCGTGGAGCGGGGGGCGGAGCTCGGGCAGAGTTGATCAAGTTTGTGTGGCCGGTGCGCTCCTGAAAAAACACTGCGTACAAGTAGAAAGTGCACAGTCTACAAGCAAGTTGTGTTGGTGACTGAGGTAAGTTATAGTGGCTTATTTCCCTCCCCCACTCGGGGGAAAAAAAATAAAAATAGGTTGCATGCGGTATTTACTTCGCTCTTTTCGCCCCGTTATGCTATTTTTTTTGTTTTTCTTAACGGTACTTGGAAAAACCGTCGAGGTCTTCGGAAACAGTTTCGAATTAATTTGCACTCGTTAGTGTTTTAATGGTGTGTTTTGAGCGTTTGGCTTTTTCTATAGCGAAACCTTTACGAAGCGGCGTTCGGAAAGAACTCCTTTTGGATATTTTAAGGGGGCCTCAGCTTTTTCTGAGGGGAGGGGGTCAGCGTGTGCCGTGGGCATGTAACGTCGTTACAGATTGTTCACGGCTGCGACCGCGCTTTCTGGATTTCGTTTAGAAACTATCTTAACAAATCCTTGATTTTTTTTTTTAAAACGCGGTAGTAGTGTTTTTTGGGTGTGTGAGGTGGCTTTCTTCCTTAAAATGTTTGTTGGAGAAGTGTATGCGTGTATGTGGTGGTGGTGAGCGGGGGGGTGTAAGTTTTTAGGCGGGAAACAAAATGGAGGGACGCTTATTGTTCTGGCGGTGCGGTTACAAAGCAGGAACTAGCCTGGATTAGTCAGATTAGTGTCGGGGCCTCTCGTTGCTCTCCGCACACAGGCAGGAACTGATTTATGCGCGTTTTCAACTCGGAGCTCCTGCCTGATTTTTGTCTTCTTTTTTTGTTTTTGTTTTTTTTTTCTCTTCCCCGGGACCGGCCCCGTTCCAGACAAATCCTACCATCATGGGCAAAGGAGATCCCAATAAGCCGAGGGGGAAGATGTCCTCCTACGCGTACTTCGTGCAGACGTGCCGGGAAGAGCACAAGAAGAAGCACCCGGACACGTCGGTGAACTTCTCCGAGTTCTCCAAGAAGTGCTCGGAAAGGTGGAAGGTGAGCTCCGCTGCTTTGTGGAGGCTTTGCGCCCCCTCTCTGCCCCCGGGTAGTTCGTGCGCCCGGTTCAGCTTGAAGCACTTCCTTCCCCGTTTCTGCTGCCGAGTGCTGCAGATACAGATCGTCTTCGGATCTGCAGGGGGCTTCGTTTGGACGAATGGTCCCCCCAGCCCCCAGTATTTAGTTTAGTGGCCTGTACTTTTATTTTTTGAGGGTGTGTGTACGTACATATACATATATATACCTTTTATTTTCGTTTTAGACCATGTCTGGGAAGGAGAAATCAAAGTTTGAAGACCTGGCGAAGACTGACAAGGTCCGTTACGAGCGCGAGATGAAGACCTATATCCCACCTAAAGGTGAAAAGGGTGGCAAGAAGAAGAAGGACCCAAATGCTCCTAAACGCCCACCGTAAGTCCCCTTTTAGGTGATTAAAAGAGCTCTGCGATATTAAATGGTTAAGATTTAGAGGGTATAATTTGCACTATTTGCCCTCCTGTTACATTATTACATCTCCTATTTAGTTGGACCTCAAGAGCTGCCTAGAATTATTTGATTCTAAGTCTCTTGATTTTTTGCAGGTCGGCATTCTTCCTTTTCTGCTCTGAGCATCGTCCAAAAATCAAGGGCGAGAATCCTGGTATTTCCATTGGTGACATTGCAAAGAAACTGGGGGACATGTGGTCCAAGCAGTCGTCCAAAGACAAGGTTCCCTTCGAACAGAAGGCAGCAAAACTGAAGGAGAAGTATGAAAAGGTAAGGTTGTTTTTTTTTTAAGTATATGAAAACCCCCCAACGTTACGGTATTGAGACCTTCACCATTATGTGGTGTAAAAACACTGAGTCGGGAAGCCTGCTAATTTTTCCTCTTTTAAACATACAGGATGTTGCTGCATACCGTGCCAAGGGCAAAGGAGATGCTGGCAAGAAAGGACCGGGCAGGCCAGCTGCAACCAAAAAGAAAGCTGAGCCCGAGCTGGATGACGACGACGAAGAGGAGGACGAGGAGGAGGAAGAAGACGAAGAGGACGATGATGATGATGATGATGAGTAATGTCTGTTCAACCTGGAGGTTTAAGCTGGAATTTACAAAACAAGAATGTGAACTTGAATGCAGCTTAACATTAGTATTGGGTTTTCTTAAAACATGTACAGAAATGTGTATAGCTGTAATACATATTAGGGTCATGTGCTGTTTTGTAATGAAAGTAGTAGCTGATCCTTGAAGCACTGCTTTTTTTGTTTTGGATAGGGTGTGATTCTGGTATGTTTCCACTGCCATTTTATAAACAATTTTATGTAGTAAATGCAGTATAATGTTTTTTACATGGGACTTAAAACTTTGTTCTAACTGTGTAGATTGCAATTTTTTATAATAAAATTTTGTATATTACAACTGTTTTTTGAATCATTTATAAATTACGTGTGTGTTTGGGTAACTTAACCCATTGGTGAGACCAGGATTCTGAAGACGTTTTAAAATGTATTGCCTTGTTTTTGAAAGTAAAGAGTTTGGACAATGGGTTTTACAGTTGACATGAATCTGAAATTAAGAACAATTTCATTTTGCAAACCCAGATGTCTTTTGTCTCTTCGTATATCCAGACTTTATTGGTCAGAAGACTACCACAGTTTAATTACTAAAACATAGCCTTAAGTCATTTCAGCTTGTTCCCTTATATGTTGCTTTTGCAATGTGGGTCTGTATTGCAGTTCTCAGCAACTTGCACACTGTGCTGGGATATTGGTAGCCCACATTTGTTCCTGTTGCTTTCAACAAGTGAACTGTTCTAGGTGATCAGCTGGACTGTAATCTTTGGTGAATTCTGCACTGTATTATGTATTCTAAAAAAATTTTAAGATCATGTGGCTTTCAAGGTCTTTCTAAGCCTGCATTATGTCTTTAATTTCAGTCTTCTAAATCTGGAGTATTTGATTGAATAAAAGACTTAAATGGTTTATTTTGTGCTGAAGTTATTAATTGGGCACATTCAGGCCTTCAATGTTCAGTTAAATCTTTTAAATTAAGTTAATTGAGCCAGGCTACTTTTGAAGATTGAGGTCCTTGCAGAATGTTTAGGGGCAAAGTGAAAGCAGTTTTACAAGTGACAGGAGTATGAATTATAGTTATTTGAAGTGGGTTTAGCAGAAGGGTATTGGATTACAATGTCCAGATCTGGTTTCTAAGTGATGAAACTTAAAATCTCAAATCTATTTGATTTGCAATTCTGTGTAAAACCAGTTCCATTGTGAAGGTGCTGCTTTTGTTGCATTTCATTACTAATTACTAAAACCGTAAAGAGTAGTGGCAGAAGAGCTGCATTTGAAGCAGAATGGAGCTCTTTTTTTCTGAAAGCAAATGTAGTTTTGTCTAGTCTAAGCTTCCTGCTTTCGCAATGTTTTGTAACTTCAACTGATGTTCTTGTTTATCTTGTTTACAGCAGCACTGTCGTTCTGCTGGTTTAGCAGATATATTTCAAATCCCTGATTAAGATAAAAATTAAAAGGTGATCTGTTAATGAAAATGGATAGTTTAACTTGGTGATTAACTGAAGATGTGGAAGGGAATTTTCCAACTTTGACCTATTCACCTGGTCAACAGGGTCACAAGTTCCTGATTGGGTGTTAATTTCATAAACCAAGTGTAACTCTTTTGCTCATGCTTCTGATAGCATTAAACTAGATCTGGAACATAAGACCTGAGTCCTCGTTTGCCCCACTGCAATTTGCCTCTTGGTGGTTTTGATTGCCCAAAGTACTGTACCAGTCATCATCAAATTTTGGTCCTGGAATTTGTAATTGGAGAATTCACATTCTGTTGCACCAAGTGAAGTCAGTTATTCAAATTCACCTTCCATATTGTTCAATGGCTTTTCAACTTGCATATCAAGGTGCATCTACTCATTATGAAGCACAGCCATCAGAACACTTTGGCTCTTTTGCATTGTTTATCAATTGTTTAAAATATTGAGGTTAGTGTCACAGCCCTTAGTTTTCATGTATTACAGGTACTTGGGTTTGTGTATTAGCCGAGTTTAAGAGTAAATGAGCAAGACAGATTGAGTAGAATTGAGATACAACAGAAGAGATCAAAGGCTTTGCATCTCTGATCGGTAGTTTAATGTCCCAAAATGCCATTGTGTGTGAATTGTATTCCTTTTGGAGGGGGCAATTTTCTTATTTCCTGTAATAAGACTGCCAGTTTTAATGACCAATGGCTCCTTACTGTGCTTTAAAGGAGTTGTATTGCAGTTCAAATGTGATTAAGACTTTTTTTCTGTATTTCAATAGTTTCCTCTCATTCATGGTTAGCATTTTAGAAATCGAGTCAAGCCCAATTATGAAGATGGGTAGACAGCATTAGAATTCATTACTGTAATAAAACATGCCCTTTATAAAAAGTGTCAATTTTACATCAAATGTACATTAGGCTCCACCTATGCAACTACTCGTTGAAGTGTAATTCTTGTAACAGTGAAAGAGATATCTTTTAATGCTTCTCTAAGTTTAATATGACTTAGCTTTTCCCATTACTGCTTTATGGTTTTGACATGACATTTCAAAAGGTAGTAAACAGACAACACACAAAGGTAAAAAGATATTCAATTTATTTCCTATATTGAAACAATTAGAACAATCTAAGTTATATATTTACACCCTCATCCAAGATCCACTGTACATGTCAAAGTTAATGGAATAATATAGAAACAATCTGTATTTACACATTGTATAAAAAGTTGCATACGTGAATGATTATGCATAGCTTGTCTTACAGACAAGTCATTTTGCTTCTATATGCCTTTTAAAATTTGTTTTACACCAATGATACATTTCCAATCTTTGATTTAGTCACTTGTTGAAACCACCTTAATAGACATAACTACAGATGTATTTTTTTTTTTAAAAAGCAATCTTATGTTAACGGCTTATTTTGATCTTACAGTCATTCCACCACAATGTGAAACTTTTTATTTCTACAATCTATTCTCGGCACCGAGAGAGGTTTTGTCTTGTTCAAATGAGAAACTGAATCCTCGATAAGTTTTTTTGTCTGCTGGCTTCCTCCTTTTTAAGTAAAACAAATAGCTTTCTTAATGATCAGTATTGATTTATGTATATACACACACCATAGAAATATTTAGAATTAACAAACCAAAACATTATTAATAGATTAGAAGTTTCCTTGTGACCCAAAACCCAACACTTTTAAAACTGGCAGTAAAGTCCTTTCAGAAAAAAGTAAGCATTCAGCTAACAAAGGACTAAAACTAAGGAAAAAGATCCCATCCAGATAATCCACATTTAAAATTTTCATTTTTGTGTAAGTGCTGGATATAGTCACATTCTTAAATTTACCAACAGACATGGAGGAACTCTACATGAATAAATTAGAAGGGAAAAGGTAGTGCTTTTGAGATTTTGAATAACTACTTTAATTCTACACATGGATTACTGCATCTTCCACCCCTAATATAAATGTGCATTTTGAAAAAGCAACATGCTTTTTAGACCCCTGAGTGAAATCCCAAAGAAATGTACCCTGAAAGATATGAAGATCAAGAGGGTAAGATGTAAACATCATTCAAAGATGACAAATTAAATTAGTTGTAAACAATTTTACAATGGATGCAGTATTGTCACAGTTCTTCTTCATTAAAGTATTTACACTTGCACTAAAACTCCTTTATGCAGCAGATACACAGGCAAATGGTGTTCAGTCCCCTCTGTACAATTTCAGTTGAATTGTAATGGGTCACCTTACACAGCAACAATATTGTTCATTTCCCACTTCTGTGTACTTTTATTCTTATCACAGTCCGCTATAAAAACCTTATGAAGAACCTCTGAACGGTCCAAGCACTTTCCAGTTGGTACGTGGGTAAATCTACGCAGATCCTGTGAGCAGAATGGAAAGAACATTGTTTTATTTGAATATATACATGCAGATCAAGAAACGTTCTGTCGAGCATTCAAAGCAGTTAGTATTCTACGGCTTTGCTACTGCGCCTTTTCCTGGGATAAAGACTAGCAACCCAAAGCCTATCGTGAAAAAGCAGGGAGCAAGGCAGGACTACAACTACTACATCCATCTTGGGATACACACAAGACCGAATTCGAAATATCAGCTAACCAAGCCGACACACATCTGGGAGGTGAGGAGAGATTGGAGCATCTAGAGAAAACATCCAGATCCGCAATGGTGGGACACCAGTCTGGGATTGAATTCAGGACCTGAGAGCTGTAAGGGAGCAGCTCCACTCAACACCAATATTAAAATACCTCAAGATTTAAAGTTTCATTTATCAACCTGAGTACGCTTCTTTTACAATTATTGGAAAACATCAAAAGGAGAAAAAAGAACAGAGTATGCAGTAAAACATGTATACTAAATTACTAAATAGGTTTGGGGCTAAATTCATTCTGTAAAGAAAGGATTTTCCTTAAAATCAGTATTTACCGTTAGAATTGTAGGAAAATACATAAAGATATTAGTAACACTGGAAAATAAGACGCACAATCTTGGTTTTCCATCATTTATAAATACATACTGTAGCCCACTGCATGCGATTCCTTTTCCCAGTAATAGATTTTATACATTACGGTGGCAGACAGGAGAACTAGAGAGCAGCGATATGGTCAAACAGAAAAACAGACTTATTTCAGAGTGGCAGTGCAGAGGATTCGGCACACTCTGCTTGCTACCTCACCTGCATTCAAACAATGTCATTTTCCCCACTTTCTTAAAGTGAGGAAAACTCTTTTCTGTGTAGTAGGCAATGATGAGGATGTAACATTTAGAGAGAGTTTACTGGAGGTCATGGGAAAGATGCTGATTACTGAACAGGGAGGTTAGTGTTCAAGTGACTTCACGGTGGAAGGGAGAAGCCGGGGCCAGAGGCGTCATAACAGTTTAAAACCCCATCACTCATTCTCTTAAACCCATATTTACAGTAAAACGGTACTATGTCAATTTGAGATTTTACTGTACATCAAAGTGAAAACATACAATAGAGTTCTCGTTTTAATTAAATACAGTTAGAGTCCCCTTAACTCAGAAGATTAGGAAGCAAAATATGTCAAACAAGTGTAAAGTACAAGGACTATCATATTAGGAATGTCCAATAATTCCCACCCACATCCTGAAGTGGTAAAAAAAAAAAAGACTGTGCTTGGGTTTAGCTTGTGTGAATGAAATAGCAATGTTTTCACAATACTGACCTTGAAGTACTTCCATTCTGTATACTCATTCAGATTGCAGTGGGTTATGATGACGGTGGATCCATCCGATCCCTTTGTCAAGCACTGATCGTACTGCATAAGCTGATTGGCTTCATTTATTCTAAAAAGCTTAATAAAAAAAATGTAACGTGAAACAGGATTTAAAATATACCTCAGCGGACAAAATAAACCTCCAGGTTGTGAGCTTGTGAAACACAATTGTAAGGCAACCCAGAAGTTTAAGTTAATCTGGACCTTAAACGACTTCTCGGTGTTTGGCAGGACATCTGTCTGAATTGGTTTTAATGGGGCAAACACCACAAAGGTTAGTGAAACACAGAAAGCTGAGAATACTCCAACAGCACCCTTCTGTGCTCTGTGCTGCTGCTTGCGGATTTACTCATCACAAATGGCCTATGGCACAGCCCGAACTCAGCTAAGTGTAGATAAGCACCAGCCAGCACTTCAAACACGCACCTTCATGGGAACACTCTTATAGATGTCTTGTAACCAAAACAAAACACTAATTCAACATTAGGGACTGTTTTTTTTATAGATAAAAAAGCCTATTAAAATACTACACTCGAAAACACTACAAGAGAACTCAGATCCAAATTTGTCTTTAAGCCACAGACTCCCATCATTGAAAGTCTCCTGCAATAGGAGCTTTTTCCCCCACACATAAAAAGAGCAGTGCTTGCCAACTACTGTACATTATATACTGCACGTGATCTATATGTGGACATTTTCAGATACTCTTGTTTGCATTTGGTACAGTTTGTGCTGTCATACAATGAGAAAAGTAACATAAAAACATCAATACTGAACACACATATACATTTTACCTGGTTCCCTCCCATTCTGTGACAAGGTCCCATTTCAACGGTGCCTCCATTTGTATGCCCCATACTGTCTATACAGTAGTTGGTTTCATATCCTCTTATCTGAAAGACAAACAGGCAGAGATTATTGATCTTAATTTACAAAGGATTATACTGTAATATATTCACTGCGAGTGTGTAGGAGAAACAGCACAGAAGAGTGCATTCATGCACTAAAGAACAGCAAAAGATTGTATCTCACAGAGCCACACATGCTGCATATAACTCCCTCGAATTCTGAGGCTTTCACAGGGAGAAAATCTAGGTTACCATGGAGCCCAGGAACAGTTATTCATTGACAGTCCAACATTATCTGGTCACACTTAAGTTGTACATGGTAAATAAAGATATATTGTAAGTGCACAAAATTACTTCCTCATTTACCTACAGCATACAGTATGTTATACACTATTTAAAAGTACAATTATTTTGTAGTGTCACCTCTCATTTTGTGCAAGAACATAAGACTTGTATAAGACTTCTTTTAGGTACGTCATCAGCATGTGTTTTTTGGATAAAGGCTCATTTACATACTTTCATCACAGTAAATTAAAATGAAGAACTCTTGCAAGTTCAAGTACTAAACACTTTAAATACCTAATTGCAGATCACTTGACTTCCTGTATATCAGAGCTATTCTGCATTTAAGTGTAATACATCTATTAATATAAAGTTAATTTATCCTAGGAAGTAGTAGAAAAGATGTTTTAAATTAGTTAACTGTCTTCCTCATAATGTTATATTAACCTTAACTGTCTTAAGTCTCTTTGAGAGATACAAAATATGCTGATTGGTTTATGTGTATCACAGCACTGAAAGGCTACTTAGCAATCCATTTGTTGTTTTCTATTGCTTAATTGAAACGTGACGGAGCAAGAACTGTCAGAAGTAAAGTGCATGAAAAAAGGACTCTAAACTTGCTTTTGTAATTAAATGTTCAACGTACCATGTGATGTTCACATGTTGAGGTGGTAAACAACATTGTTGCCTAAACTGTATTAATAGAGTCAAAAAAACAAAATGTAACATATAGCTCTTTACACGATGGGAATATATGGTGCTCTTTGTAAAAGCATTCCAGTCTTTTTAAACCACTTTACATACACGTAATCACACCAGAATGAAGAATTAATGCATCTAATGAGCATCAAACTGTAATGTGGTTTGGGAGTTCAAATGCTTTCTTCCCTTTACCTTAACAGTTTTTTTTTTGCAGAAACGAGCATACAACATAGAGCACAGTACTGAGAAAAAATAAGGAGGTAGTGCCTAGTACTTATGTTTTGAGCACATACGGTGTGCACACAGTAATCACTCGAGTGAAAATGAATGTTTGGAATACATAACAATGAAGAGACTGTGAAATGATCATCTTCCTATTCTCGTATTTACCTACACAAAAAACCATAGAACCTGCCTGCTGTGTTATAAGCAATGTGCTTGTTGCTGGTGGGAGTTGTGAAGATTATACAATGAAAATCTTTGCGAAAGGTCTTGGATCTTTTTTTTCCCCCAACACACAAAAGAATTACCTCTCCCCACTCCACGTTTTTCGGAGGAAGTGGATAATGAGATGGTATATCGTAAGCAATTTCTTCCATGAACCATTTGAAGCTTTTGCAGTTACGTTCCTCTCTGAATTTTTTTAGTTGACTGATATCTCCATAGGCGAGGGTCTGGGTTTCAGGCCGACTTGCGTAAAAATAGTCTCTGTATTCATCCCACCAGACCTCAACAACTCGAACATAATTCTGAAAGTCAAATAAGGGGGGAAAAAAAGTGTTAACATTCAATTCCCGACAAACAGCACTTACAGATAACTGATTGATATTAGTATTCTAATTCTTTACAACTGAAACTTGACACAAGGGAAGGCCTTACAACATGAAGACTTCCAAATTTTGGTCTAACTTTGTTAGACTTTATCAAATATATTTTTATCAACTAACGTAAAACACTGTTTGTTACAGTGAACTACGGTAAACTTTTAGAATAGCACTTTAACATAGGCTCCGTGGTTTAACCTTGAGCTTCCCAAACCAGTTTGAACCATAACAAAGCCATTCATCCATTTTCTAACCGTTTCTTCCAATTAGGGGTTAACAGGGGAGCTGGTGTCCCGACAAACAGACGAAGCAAGGCCCAGCCCATTACAGGGCAGACCAACACAGACACACACACTCTCACCCAGGGCCAGTTTCCCCAGAGTCCAATGAACTTACCAGTATGTTTTTGGATTGTGGGAGGGAACAGGAGCTCCTGGAACAAACCCAAGTGAACACGGAAGAACATACACCGGGACCCCAGTGCTGTGAGGCAGAACTGCTAAGCACTGCGCTACCGTGCCTCCAATAACAATAGCAAAATGACCTATTTAGTGCTTTCACCCCCATGTGGATTTCTGTGCCACATTTTATTTTGCCATTTCAGGCCTAGGTGACTGCGCTCTTTGTTAAGTGAAAGGCTTGCGATTTCTTGTTCAAGTTTACTTAATTTGAAGAAGCAAAAAAAAAAAACAAACGACTACAAAACCAACCTTCAAAGTTGGAGACGAGCCCACGTGAGCGGGTGGTGGATTTCCTTGCCACCCATGCAGACGATATATGTGTCCAACTCGAGAACAAGGCACAAATAGCAGCTGACCGCCACACTGCCAAATCTAAATGATGAAAGAGCAGAAATTAGACTGTGTGCGTGTGTGCGCGCGCTACGCACAGGTCTGGGACTTGAGTAAATGCACTGGCAGATCAGATGGGAAATGTCAAATAATTCAGATTCATACCCTGTGCCTCAAATATAATAACAATATACTGGATGGACTATATTTTATTTACTTAAAAAGAAAAAAATTACCTTCCGCGTTTTTTTATCCACTATTGAAGAACTCAAATTGACAATGTAACATTAAAAAGTAGGAACCTAAGACCCTGTTAATATTAATGGAATTTCAATTAAGATTTTGAAATGGGAAAACTGTTCGCGAGCCTCGTCTTCTTAGAACGGCGAATATTCCACTGATGTAGTTACAGTAACCCATCTGATTCCTATGCATGTTAAAATCGACACAATAGTACTGTTCAGTGTTAACTGTGATTCTTAAATGATATTTAACACCCTGTTTCCTTTTGGCAAATACAAATTCTCTTGCAGCAGAAACACAAATTACAGTTTTTTTACCTTGTATGAAATTTCAAAGTTTTCTCCTCCCCAGATCTGAAGACCAGGATCATACAACCCAAGCTCAAAAAAGAAATCGCGTTCAATAGCAAACAGTCCACCAGCCATAGCAGGTGATCTGAGAAATAAGCAAGATTCACAAATGACATATTACACAGGGGACAGACAAATGACATATTACACAGGGGACAGACAGTAACTGGTAGACTCAACTCCAAGGCAATGCTTTTTTTTATTTACTTAACATATTAAGGCCTATAAATAAAACAATAATACATGTGATTTAAAAAGTTAAAAATTAAAAAAAAAGATTTTTGGTTTGAAACCGTTTTTCTTACAATTCAAAAAAGTATATTTTGTTGGACATCAAATGCTTTGTTTTTATTGCATGGCAAAAATAAAATGCTACCTCCATTAACAAATTTAAAAACTGGAAAGCACACAGTACACGTTTCTAACGACGCACATTTATAACTGATTTTGGGACCTATCGGTAAGCTGAAAGTCTACAGCTTAGTTATGACATTGAATAAAATAGCCTTCTTTCATTTTTAGAATTTTTTAAAGAGAATTAAATGATATAATGTTTTTGTTTTACACCTTTGCAATTTTGAATCTCCCACTGCAAGTCTTGGTGGAAACTGAGCGGCATATACTTCTCCCAGGGGGAGCGGTGGCTCTGTGGCTCAGGATCTGCGCCTGTGGCTGGAGGGTTGCTGGTTCAAATCCCGCAGCCATAAAAATGCTGACCCTGTGCTCTGACCCCAAGCTTCTCTCTCCCTGTCTGTGTGCCTGTGTGTCTCATGGAGAGCAAGCTGGGGTATGCGAAAAGACACATTCCTAATGCAAGAAATAGTATATGGCCAATAAAGTGATCTTATCTAGCTTGTTTGCAGCCTCAAACAGCAAACAAAAAGGACTCAAGCACACAGTTATTCCACAAGTTCACTGCCTAACCTTGACCCCCATATTTGTTTGAGAAGCTGTGAGCCTTACAGTGCTTAACAAAAGGGTTAGCACCAATGGACAAGAAACGCTGATGTGACTCACTGAAGTTGCCTTAGGGAGAGGGGATGCACAAGCACTAGCTCCAGGGACTAACATCTGACCAGCAGCATGCAGCTACGTAAAGCATCCTGGTCACAGTCAGTTAGTGACATAGCCCAGGCTTGAAATTATTACATCTTGCAGTAAGAGCATTTAGGAAGCCGCATGCTTTCAGAGGTTTTAAAAAGATGCATAACATACAGTAATTTGTGAGATTAAGCCTCCCTGCAGGCATTGTACATACAGCAGATCTGATATCTTCTATAATGATGTTATGACTCGTGAAGAACTATTTCTTAATGACTTTATAGAGTACATGGAACAATTTCTTTCAAACTTCTTTTTAAGTGTCTCTTGGCTAAAGTTTAAATCCAATTTAGTTATTTTATGGTTATCAATGTAAACATGCCATGAAGAACTAAGAAACCACCAAGTTAGACAACAAGACACCAACAAAAACGTGGAGCACAAAACAGTTACAAATAGAGGCAAGAGGGGCTGTATGAGTGACAAACATCAGCCAGAAAGATTGCACACGTATTCTTTTTTCATCTCTGTTACATCTAAAATGATGACAATACTGTAGATGAAAAAATGTGTATCCATGCTAGGAATTGTTACCGATTTTGTCTCTAAATTATGCAATTTCTTCTATAGAGGAGCAAGTATATGATTTACCTACACGTGTTAAATTTCTTTTTTTCTTTAATGCCTGTATTTTTCCTGTACATTGTTCTTCAGTGAAATCTTAAAATAACTGAAAGATAGTGTTGTGTACCTTCTGAGGTATTATCTTTCACTATATTTTGTCTAGTTTGTTTAAAGAACAGAGCTTTGTGAAAACTTAATAGAAAAGGTGCTTTGTAAATCACAGGTTATTGAAATTAACTTTGGAAAAAGTTTAAACCAACCTTTTTGGTTATAAACAAATCACTGTCCTAAAAGTACACCTTTTCATTTAGAATAGCAAGACGAAGTGTTTGACGTTTACTGCGAAGTCAGCAACAGCTATGAATTCTGAGCCGCGAGTTCAGCAGGTGAACAAAAAGCCAAGCATCTGTTCTTGATGAAAGAAAGAGTCAGCACAGAGTGCAGGAAATACAATACACAGATTAACTGCAGTAGTAGAATTAGTGTTAGTGGGACTTTGAAGCAGTCGAGCATGAAGTACAAGAACACAGTACACCCACCACCAAAGTGAGTAAGTTCCCATTCCGTTTCGTTAGTACTGTTTTTAATTACCGATATGGCTCAGTTTTAGTTAATCTCATCTGCTTCTCCTTCTTAGTCAAAGGAACACGTTTCCATAGCATGCTCCAGTCCCAAGCTCCTCTTGCAAACCCGTCTTCGTCACCTCCCCCTTGTGGCTGAATTTCGTAATTGTTGCCATTTATGGAATCGATAAGAGGCACTGTGCATATAGTTCTGAGAGTGGCGGGAGGGATGGTGTGGGGAGTCCACGCATCGCACACAAACACAAACAGTCACGGGGAGAAAGGAACAAAACAGAGGAAGGGCACAGATGAACACAAGGTGAAATATAATATGGTAAATCCAAGTTTCTTTACCGATAAGGTTCAGTTTTATGCTTTCTTTTAGCCTTTTCCTTGCTGTTTAAGGGGACACGTTTCCACAACAAACTCCAATCCCAGGCACCTCTGGCAAAGCCATCTTCATCCCCACCTTGCTGAGGCTCTATGGTATAATCATTGCCATCTATGTAATCTATTAATGGAACCGTACATATGGTTCTGCAACATTAATGAGAAACAACAGCAAAGCGTGTTACATCATTTAAAGTCCACTTCTACACTCAAGAATTCTAGCATATCATGCTTTTTGTGTAGCTTTCTACATCCTGTTGAAATTGTCTATGCTTGCACAGCAGAAGAGCAAATCAAATGAGTGATTAATTCCAGGACTGCAACAGGAATAAGATTACTTATCCACAAAACAATCTGTGGAATTAAAAGAAAACTATAATTGTACATATATTCATCCATCTAAAGTTTGCAGTGCCTTTCCATAATAACATTGATTACCCCAAACTACTGTCTTGCATTTGTGACACTTAACATTCACAGCCTATGAGATTTATATGGTCATAGAAAAAAACTCTTGATTATAACCGTGAAAGACAAACCATTAAACATGACAAATAATGTGCAGAATGTCCTCTACCTGTCTTTCGATATTGGTGCCACCAGAGGTGCATACCAGTTCAGTCCTACTTCACAGTGAGCGTCCAGGTAGATCAGCACCTAGGGGTATTTCAATAAAAACAGTCTGATTTAGTTCAACAACATCACTGGCCACTACACAACCTGAAAAACTGCTACGAATGATTGCTAAGGGTCCACTAGCATACCGTACCAGGGATATACACTACATAACAAACATCTTCAAATTTGCATTTTGTGGTACAGTATATCCGTTTTCAAAACGAAATGCCAGGATCATTACACCAAATAGTCGAGTGTATTTGGTGAATACACTTTTAGAGTGTATTATGATGGAATATTCTTTTTCAAGAAGTGGCTCACGTCATAAATGCAAGGCTAGCAATGCTCAGCTCTGGTCCTTGAAAGCTACAGGTCTATTATTTACATAGGTCCCTTTGTTACAGCACAAACAGCTTCAGGACCGAGACCACTTCGGCCCCCTTATCTGGATGTGGATCAAGCCTAGACAGAGCCTACTGCATCCGTGGTGGGGTTTAGAGCACACAACTGTCCTCACCCTGGATAGGATGCCAGGCTGCCACAGGAGCCAATTGATAAAAGCATAAATACAATGGCCAATTAAACTTAGCCAGTGTGTTTCTGGAAAATGAACCACCTGACATACATCTCAGTGGGATTTCAGGGAAAACATGGAAACTCCATTCAGATAGACCCTCAGGGCCTGAAGGGAATTCTCGACCCAGTTACTGAGAAGAAGCAATGAGGACTCCCACACTGTCCTCTTATACTTGTTCCAGGTCACCAAATAAATGAGGAGGTGAAGAACTCAGGTGAACAAAAAACATAACGCTGTAATTCTCAAGAATCCTAGGCGCTCACATGACATTAAGTGCCTGACAAAGGCAATGCTAACAACTGAAAGCACAGCACTGTACATACCTGACCAAGCTTAGCTTTATGGGCACCGATGCTCCGAGCTTGAATTAAACCTTCTCTTCTTTCATTGCGAAAAACTTTTACCAAGCCATTCCACTGCTTAATGTATTCCTCTAATCTTTCTTTCAGGTGTGCTGAAGAAAGGGAGGGATTTTAAAAAAATCAGTGATGAAATACGGTCTTCAGAATAAAACTAATGACACCAAAATAAAACCGTATTACACTAGTCTGTGGATTTGGTAAGATACCGTGGACTACAAAAGGTGAGATAATGTGACATGAGTCAGAAAAAATTAACAGACTTTTAACTAAAGCTTAGACACCAAAGCTCTCAAACATTATTAATGACACATTCATATTCTTACTCATCATTCAGAATATTTGATCAAATTTTACAGAATGATAAACTGATTTTAGTTTGTAACTCAGAATTCAAAGATAGCTAAACAAAAATCAATGTATTTGCCATGTCAAAGGAGAACTCTTCAACTCATGGAACAAAGAGAAAAGAATAGAAGAGAAAATATGTGGCTTCTACTGGACATGTCTTCAACTCTACCATTTATGATCCCATCAACAATTTGTAGTGTTGGTTTAAAATGCTGGATTTAAAAAATAAAGGTTTTCAAATGCACTTTTTCCACCCCATTATTTATTATATTATATATATATAATATTATTTTCAGCAGTTTCAATTACTGAATTGGAAATTACTACCTGGAACGATTACTACAATGTCTTTGCATAATCATGTCTGAGTCTTTCTCAAGCATCACAGTGCTGAGATATTTTCCAGCTCTTTATCGCAGCACTGAGTGTTAGTACTGAAGTGCTCATAGCTCCCATAATGAGTCCGTAACAGTGTACTATGTTGCTTCAGGTACAAAAATGCTGCTTAAATACGTTTTCAAAGTCTGAAATTGCTGGACCGCAAATGTTTAAATGGAAGTAGGAAACAAGAAAAGCAATAGGACCCCTTTTACCACCTGGGTTCAGTCACTGAAAAGTACAAAAACACCCGGTTTTCCTTTCACCATCTGATAGGTGGATGGAAACCAGAGAACCTGGAGGAAATGGTCAACCCCTTTTAAAAAACAATTTAAAAATGCAGCTTTAATATAAAGTCATTTCTTTGTGGATATGTTAATTAATTACTAAATTAGAATATGGTCACGTGTATTATTCTACTTGAGTTATATGTACTATTTTTGTCCACATATGTCAATACAATTTCACATTGTAATGAAATTTCTCTAATGTATATAGATATAGTAGCATGCAAACGGAATACATATTTCTGTGCAAGTTTCTGCAGCCTCTACATTTCTGGAAACATTACTTCTTCTGTAGGCGTTTACATAGTTCATATACTATAATCAAGTTAAGATTTACAAACAAAATAGAAGTTACCTTTATTGCTGAAATCATCAATCATTACAATTTCTGCCAGGTATCGTCTTGGTGTCCGTTTGATAACGCTGTGCACGGTCCTCATCAATGTGGACCATCCTTCATTGTGGAAAACAATAATAATACTGGCAGTAAGCAAGTTCTCATCAAAATGCCAATATCTGCACCTAGAATGGAAAAAACGTATATCAGGATACAGCAGAGAAAGAAAGAGGAATAAATATATAGTTTTTGTTGTGCCTTGTCCCCAGTCCCTTCCGAGTTTCAAACTACACGCACTCAGCTCTTCAAAGCACAGTACTCTCCCAAGACACCATCTGTGCAGCAGAACCACATTTGCTAGTTTCCGTTGCAGATCTGTCCTCCTTCTTGCTGAACATCTGCAAGCTCCCCTTTAGACCTCACACATTCAGCGATACGAGAACATGAAGTACTAAAGAATCGCTTGGATGAGATCCAGCTTGAATTTGATTACATTAACAAGCTCGGATCATTTACAATGATTATCATGTGGTTTTTCCCAACACATTTTTTGGTTGCTGTTCACGTTTCTCTGTTTTTTTAACTTAATATATATCGCAACAACAATGATTCCTGAAAGTGCTTCAGCTGATCAGTAGTACCAAGTAACAAACGTTCTGAAACTTTTCTATTTTTTCAGAGCACAACATTTTAATTCACATCGATACTAATGCCACAAAGTAATCAGGGTATGCATCTGTGTGTACGTGTATACAGACTCCACTCAATGAAAACATTTTCAAATGCAACTGTGGCACAGAACGTAAATGAAAATAAAACTACAACCTGCACTGATGCCCCCAAATACAGGCCTGTAGTTTCAGCGTGCTAGTTTGTGCTTATATTCACCATCCAGAGGACTTGGTTTGGGAAATAATACACAAGGTTCTCCAACCTGGGATACCTGGTTATTTCTTCATATATAGCCTCTGCAAAGAAAGCAGCTCTATCATAGCACTACCTTTTTTATGCACTATTTGCATAAAACCCCACAGCCATGCTACATGAATATAATTCAAAGGGACAGAAATAATCTGTGGGTGCTGGTTTTGGCTCCGAGCAGTCCGTCTTAAAGACTGCAGCTGCTTGTGCCCTTATACCAGGTATAATGTGTACTGCAAGTGGCATGATGAAGTTCCTTGTCCTAGCTGGCTCTTCCCTGTCATTTCTCAACATTTCCAATACTATCAAAACCAGCACATCAGAGAAGAAGTGGTTTTCAGCCAATACAATCATCACCGTGTCCATTATACCGATTTTTCGTTCCTAAAAGAGCTGATATTCAGGTCATTTCAGGTACACATCTTGAAAAACATCCGATGAAAAGAGATTTTCCAAACATTGGGCTTGTTTGACAACATTTCCCACACTGAACAATTTGCTGCTGTATGAAAAAAAAAGGTTTTAACGCCTCCCTAGAAGAAAAAACAACAACTAGCTAGAAAAAAACAACAACTAGCTAACTCTTTATTTTTATTGCAAACATTTTGAAAACAATTTAAACAAAAAGATTTCTTTAAAAAACCCTGTAACAGCTTTAAAAAAGTGGGACTGGTACAAAAGAGCACTTGTTGAAATCTGTACAGCTACTATACTTCCAACCTCTACACAAAAGCAGCTTTCTGTAGGTTTTCCTGTGATTCATAATCCTGTGATTATTAATGCCACAGGGATGTTAAAGTCCAGCAAGAAATCCTCTTGAGACCATGAAACAAGGGACCCTTGACAGGCAGATTCACATAAAGCATTTCTTCTTTACAAAGTTATAAAGAATATAATTTGAGAAACAGATTTTATATCTGTGCTGATTCAGGTCCTATTTGTATTGTATCTTATTCACATACTGTATAGTTGAAACCAAATCCTACAATATACAACATAAAAGTCATAAAGTTGTTAACTTTTATCACTGCAGGTTTTGTGTTACTTTTTAATTTTATGCCTATTATGCAAAAGTTCTAAAAAAGGTCTCCATACTCATTAAGCTTTTGCTTTTATGAGAAGGGGCTTCTAAAGAACATGTGAATATTTGGCTTCCTTTCCGGAAAGGCTTTAAAATTTTCTACAGTAAAAGGAAACAGAAGCCTAAATATGCCCAGATCTATCCAGGCAAAATGAAGTCCTTCACTTTCAAGGCAAGTCCCCGAGAGCACAAACAGTACAGCCAAAACGAAAGATGTGCTGTCAGGCTTGACGTTAACTTTGGTTTATTGCTATAAAGTAATCTACTGCATTCTTTTATGTCTTGATAAATACTTAGGATCAGTCATATACACAGTACATCTGATGACATGGTATAGTTTGGGGGACAAAATGCTATTATAGCATTGGTAAAAGTGACCTATGTCATTTTTCCCCATGAAAATTAGGTGTGTCATGTGCCTAGAAATGGAGGGCAACACTTAAAAACCTAGTACTTCTAAATTCAATTACTTTCCTAGACTACACCTATCAAAAACTAGGGCAGCGTCAAGGACATGAGAGCCTGTTAGTCCGGTTTATGCCATGAGTGACAAAGCAGGGAAACCGAATATCATGCGTCGTAAAGGCAGCCCAGCTGCATGTGGAATGAAAGTGAGTGTAATGGCACACCTCTCCGAGATCTTATCTGCACCCAGGGCTTGGCAGACCTAGTCCCGGAGGCTCACACTAGTGGCTTAGCTAAAGTGAGAATCTACACCCTTCCCCCCTTCCTGCAGGGGGGTTTCTTAATGCCTGAAAAGGACCCTGAAATCATTAACATGACAATCCCTTCTTAAAGGCGGCAGGGGAACAATGCAGCATGCCCAGTACCATCCCTCTGGGGATTCTGCCAGAGCAGTAGGGTAGCACCACTTTCTGAAAGGGCAATGGACTTCACAAGAGTGATTTTACATGGGGAAAAACATATACTGACTGACTCCAGGAAGATAAAAACAAGAACTGTCACTGTAAATACAATTTATAAGCTTCCCCAACACTGGTGATCTCTTATTTACCTGGAAAAATTTAAAAATGAATAACCAAATTTTGATACATTTAATTTCCATTTGGTTATCAAGTAGTTTTTTTCCCCAACAATATCAGTATCTTAATTCCCCAGAATTTCAAACTGGACCCTCTCTACACACATATCCCCCAAACAGCAAGTCAGCTCTGTTGCCAAACAATCTTACAAAATACATGTCTGCTTTTGAGTTATGTTTTCATGAATACCAATCAACAGGCTTTCTACAGGAGAATACAAACTCAACAAGCACTAATATGCAAGTCTATAAGTGTGCAGCACTGGCTGCTCTGGGCTAGGACAGATTAAAGTTTATCTGTAACAATATCTTTTCATACATCTTAGCTTTTATTAGTGTACTGGTGCCTATTACTACTGAAAAGAAGCATCCTTTTCTGTATCGGCAACAAAAAGGCACTGCAAGAACACTGGACTGTTTCCAACTATGAAGTGAAAATTTATATTAAATTAAATGAAAGATAAAGCAAGCAACCTGCAACATTTTGAGTGAATATCAGTGTATACATTGTGCGTATTGTAAGCATTGCTGCATGATATTCATTTTTTAACCTCCCAGTGCCACCTGCTGGTGATAACCTGCACTGTAATTTACAGTGTAAGCTGAAAGCAGAAAATACTACTCAAATGACACCTGCTTTATGAAAACAAAAGTTAATCTACAAAACCAGGATTTTTTAAAATCAATAAAAGATGAATACATTATTAATATGTATAGTTTAACAGGAACAATGAACAACGTTAAAAAAATGAAACAGATAATTTATTAATATATGTGTGCTCACATTTTATGATTGAGGCTATTCTTTAAATTAAATCATAATCGACAACTACTTTCTAGTGATGCTTTTTCCCCATGCAATCGAAACAAAAGCAATATTGTCATAAAAAAAGCCTTATTAATGGAAAAGAAACATGTTTCTGAGCACTGGGTATTGCATTAACTACCATCTGAAAAATAAACAGGGCAAAAATATTTGCAATTTGCAATAATGTATATAGAATATAAAAATTAAATAATTTAGACCATAATGGTTTCTCTGGCAGTGATGGATGTGAAACATATGTAGCTTGGTATGGTGTAGATTATATGCATCTGAGAGAGGATGCTATTGCATATCCTACAATAAAGGGAAAAGGAGTTTGAAGTAGAGTAAGACATAATATGACAAAGGAAACAAAGTTACTTTGTCATGTTATCTGGCTAAAGTTTAGAACACAGTCAATGTGTGTCATCTTCAGAATATTTCTGGTTTTAAGCATAAACTCTTTGTAGCATGACAGGGACACTGCCTCAGTCTATTCTATTTTTTGCAACAACCTCATTTCAGTTTACTTAAAAGGCATATCAACGTGGAAGTTGAGCACACAGAAGTGCTGGGTTTCTTTGAAAGCAGACTGCAGCTTGTTTCCTTGGTTTACTTTCGCATTTTAAAATAGGAAGGAAGCAATCACAGTCTGCCTAATTTACACACGATTGAATGCGTTGTGGCACATTTTATTTAAATGTGCCATTGATTACAAAGAATGTGCATATGCAATTGATATTTTGAACAAGATGATACTATTCAGAAATTTCAGGTGAACCCGACAATGTGGGAACACACTTTTGTGCATGACTTATCAAATGTGTCTTGTAATGTGTTTCTTATCCCTCTTCTTTTGTCAATATTTTCCCTTTACAGGCTTTATGTTATCAACAAAACAATTTCCTGATTCACTTATTCACTCCCATGTTCATTTCCTCTATGCAAATCAATGGCACAGCTGCCTTGTTCCTATGCATTTTTTAAAGTGAACCAGATCCAATTCTTCAGATTATGTCAGTTTGGTTCTCAATTCAGTGTTGTTATTCACCCAAAAAAAGTTCACACACACTATAGATGAGGAAAACAAGTTTACAACTTTAACCTGAAAAATGAATTTAAAATGTATATAAATCTGTTCTATCTCAGATTTCAGTGAGATGATTAAATTCTATCTAAAAAACTGAAACTATCATTCTGTGCACGCATTGCAACACTTTGATTAGAAAGTCAGTGCCATCTAATGAGTAGGATCAAAACCACACCTGCATTTACAAGGCAGTCCCACCAAGAAATGACAAAGAAGTGACAAGGTGGATTTGATATCATTACCTTGCCATTTCTTTTGTATAATAAGATATGGATACCTCTTACGGTTTGCTGAGTAATACAAATAGAAATAAAATGCAGTGTATACACTAAAAGCCAATCCCAGATATGAAATGTAGGACAAACTGAATCTTTGGCTCGACAAAGGATGAACTTTTTTTTTTCAATAGTACGTTATACAATGTTGATTAGTTTTAAAAAAATGCAATTTGTCAGAGTACCTGGAATAAATCAGTTTTAAGTGTATTAGATCAGAATTTTAGATCCTGAATTTAATGTACATTTCATGATATTGCAGGTAGGATGTTCAAATTATTATAGTCTCTACAGAAAAAAAAATGGTGTACCTAGATAGATTTTAAAGTCAACCTGCAATCCTATATAATTCTGCAATCCTACTTAATGTAGTTACATTTCAGTTTATATTACAGAGATTAATAGAAAAGGATAATAGTTATGATTTACAAATTTGTAAAAAGTACTACTTTCCGTTAAGGTCATAAACCTAATCTACCGTACATCAATCTTGTACCAAAGTACTTGGAAGAAAATTTGGTTTAAGCATTAGTCTTTGTATAAAAAACAAAAAACAAAAACAAAACTGTGGATACAACCATCAGATCACTTATCTACCAAAACAAAAACAATAGAAATATGGTGAATGGTTTCTTCTTTGCAAACTTTATGTTCTTAACTGGTTTTACAGTAAAATTGGGAATATTTAATCTCAGAGTTATAGCATTAAAGGTAATCTAATTCGTTCAAAAGCTTGTCGTTTCAAATCTGTCCTGTCTAGAATTAAAAGTCGTTGAACTGGATATGTAACTGTCTTCACAAAAGACAGCAAACACTCAAATTTACTGAAGGGACACACCTGTCTTCTAGTTGTAATTCAAGACTTGTAAGATCTCCCGAAAGACTTTACAGTACACTAAAGTCCACATTAACCAGTTTTAAAACAACAAAAGTGCACTGATGTTTTACAACTCCTGCTTTAATTGCAAACTATTTACAGAGATATTAAAAATAAAATGCTGGTAATGCATTAATTTGGTTCACACCATTGTAGTAGTAGTTACTTACGTGAAATCACGATAGGACACTGGTGAATTCATGTGTTTTGTTGGATAGCTATTTGTATTTTGTTTCCCCATTGCATATGTAAGAAAGGTACATCACCTGCTTCCTGAATTTAACTTTTTTTGGTTGAACAATAATGCTTCTTTGGCCAAGAATGAAACACAATAGAGAACACCAAAATAGCATATGATGGAGAGTAATGTTAAAATGTTTTAACAGTAATATGTGTTCAGGACTTGCAGTCAAGTCTGTAGCACTGAGGCAAAACATCAGCTTAAACAGTCATTAGGCTACCTCATAGAACAATCAACTTCTTATCGACAAGCAGAATGACCTTACTACTTCAATTTATAGTGTCAGAGATTCTCAAAACCTGAAGGGTTGTGATTCTCTGTATTCAGGAATTACTAGATACCCAAGAATAAAGGTGTATAAGCAAACATGGCAAAAAAAAACCATATACACAAGATGTTGCAAAAGCACCTTTCCCTTTGAAAACCCTATGGGCCCAAAAGAACTGAAAAAATATTTCACATTGCTTGTTCAATCAATTCTTCCACTGCAGCTCAAATATACCACAGCCACTCCTTGCATATACAGAACAGTATAAGGAATACACAAGAACACATCTATGAATGAGGGGAGACCAACTGGCCCATCTATTCTGTTTCTCCAAGATACAACCGGTTATACAAACCTAAAGGTTGTGCAAATATAGTGAAGGGAAGCCATTTAACTATACAAGTGAGCCTTTCTACACAGAGATACTTTTTTTTTCTCCTATTAAAAAGTTAGATGCGGATCTTAAATTCTTGCAAATCAGAAGGCTAAAATTCGAGTTCTCAGTACAACACTAAACTTATTTTGGTACGTATTAGTGGACCGACAGGCAAACAGTCTGGGTAAAAGAAAAAACTGGTGATTTAAGGAGAAATATATAGTTCTCAGCAGTCTATATAGGATATGTATATACTGAAAATCCAAACGTCTAAAAATCAAATCATTACACAAATAAAGTAGATGTTATAAAACAGTTTCTTGCACTCCTAGAAAAAAAAACATTTTTGTTTAAAAGAAAGAAAATCTGACATATGTGATTAGCATTTGGATCCTCTGCTTTCAAAACAAAAAGAAAACACTGTGTGCCAGTCCATGATTACGGTGAGTACAAAACATTCCCTCAGACCTTCAGAAAGGATTTTATATTGAGTAAGCAGGGAGATTATACTAATCCTCATCTGAGTAAAAACCTAAAGCTACTTCTTCAAAAGACAGGTTTTATTGAGTGTCATTATTAACGTTCTCTTTCAGACCCTTCCCAACCGCATGGAAATGTTTGCCAGACTGAGCTATAACTCGCAAATGGAGTCTGAACCCTTCCACCTTGGCTGGTCTCTTTGACAAAGCCATAGAAACCAGTGAAACAAGTGTTTTTCAGAGTCACGTGAGCTCTTGACAACTCCCAGCAAACGTCACACGAAGCTGTCGCCACCTGACCTTAAAGTACTTCCTTAAAGGCCTTAAAGGTCTTCAGGAACGCTTGAGCTGACAGCTGTTACCGAGCTGCAGATATCCACACACACCCAGAACCCAAATATACTTACTCTTCATGGCGCAAATCACTAATAGTCCGGTCCAGAGAGATCATTTCGCTTGCTACCATATTGAACCCGAACTCCTTGATGCTGGCTTGGATGGAATCTTTATAATCGGGCCCCAGGACAAAAGGCTTGGCCCCCTCTCCCGGGCCCCCGGGAACTCCCTGGGGCTCAGGCTCCTTCAGCTCGAAGTTTCCCAGCTGACCAGGCTTGAGAACGGGGTCGGAGTAGATGTGCTTCTGGGGTTTAAATGTGATGTACTGTTTCTGCATGACATTCTGCTGGTTGTTGACGCCGGCCTGCTGCTGCTGCAGGCGCTGATGTTCGTTTTTCCCTTCGTTCTTCTGCCGGATGGACTCCAAGTCAACTTCTACGCCTTCCACGTGAGGCCAGGGGACCACAGGCTTAAATTTTTCTAAAATGTCATTCTTGGCGTTGGGCAGGTTAGCAGCATCTCTTCCTTCCTACAAACAACAGGCAAAGGAGTCAAATATGGACGTGACAATGAATATTTTTTAATACTATATTTACTAATCCTTTGTATTCAGAGTTTATGAAGGTACCAGGAATGACTACATAGTAATAGCATTATTATTACTACTTTATATCACATTAGTAATACACTGGAAAAAAAGTACAGTAGGTTTGATTTTGTTTGGTTGATCAACAGTAGAATTTTACTGTTTTGGGGAGAGTGCTGAAAGTCATGTATTATTCTCAGGATAATCAAAATAATATTCCTTGAAGTATTATATTGATTGAAAGAATCTTTAACATTTTAAATTAGCCAGAATGTCCCCCTAAAGTTTTCTCTAAGAACTGTCAGACAGGAACTATTCTTACTTAGAAGACATAAAGCTCTATGTCAAATGATTCAATACTCAAACATACAGCATCATATTATAATTGCTTTCTAAGCAAGGAGTGATAAATATCATTTTTTAATTATTGCTTTAAAATAGTCCTATATAATTCAACTTGGCCATTTCCCTGCTCAGTGGACAGAGTACATTGGACTGGATTATTTTATTGTCTGATGTTTAACCTTTAAACAATGAGCAATTTTCTCTCATTATATCCACATTGTATTGTAGTAAATCTACCATCAAGGGCACATACATATTTCTAAACACATAACAATTAGCCTGAAGGCTAAGAAAACACTGCTGTGCACGTGGACACAAAGAATGTATTGGGGGTACACTCAAAACCCGGGACCTTTTCCTGAGACCTCAGACTTCATCCTTTAACAAACACCATATTAGCAAAATTCTGAATACACAAGCTGTTGACTAAGCAAACACCCCTAACTGTTAAAGGAGTAACCATCATGCTCATTTTTACCTAAAAAGAACAATGCAGATCTTAAGCTCTACAGGACTTCTGTACATGCAGTGGAGAAAAAAACATTAAGCCACATAAAACCAACTGTTAGAAAACTGGAACTTTTTCAAACCGGAGAATATTAAAAGATTTCTGTAATTGACTGAATATGGTTGCAATGAATGTGCAGTTTCAAGAACAAATAAAAGCATTATTTTGTAGTGCACCAGATACATTTAAATCACTGCTACTTGGAAGATGTTTTTGAGCATGATCTATGTACAGTAGGCATAATGTTAGAGTACATTAGGGTAAGACGTACAAGTTTGATTTATGCTAGTGCTATTTCTCACCAAATCACCTTTTTCCAATTCACCTCTAAAGACTGGCTGCTTCACCTTTTCCTTTTGCCTCACAACTCCCACACTTGATGTAACCAAAAGCTCAAAAGCTGAAGAATCACAGAACAGGAAGGCTGCCAACCAGGTAAATGCAATCAAGTACTGCAGACACCTTAATTGCTTGTGGGACTCAAAAGCGGTATTTGTTCTTCCAGTGCAGGAACAATTACACAGAACAGTATTAAACGCAAATTGCAGTGTAATTATTGAACATTAATGCTTTCTCCTATATTTAATTCAAACTCATTGTGAATTGAAGTCTAACTTGGGAATTTGTTATATAAAGTGCTTGAATCTGATCAAATATAGTGAGGTGCTAAGACGCTAGTTTGTATTGTCCAAATGAAACAGAACTGTTAGTTGCTAAGAGGCAAGACTGCACTTATCCTAGTCTCAGGAAGGACAAGATGAGCCCTGACAAAGCATATGCAGTAAGCAACGACCATGACTGTCAGTTCTACAAGGAATACTATACGTTTACTAACCCAACAGGTTCTTCTCAAATCTGAAACAGGCTACACACCAATGAAAACCACTCCTCTAACAGGATGCACAGGCCACTTGGTATTTTTTTTTCTGTAGTGATATTTTAAGGGAAGAAAGAATGGAGATCATAAAGTCTACTCCACTCTCATCATCTTGTCAGAATTTCTTCACAGCTCTCAAACCCAAAGTTACATTACTACCACATACAGGACTACCAACATTCACTACACAAACCACAAAATAGCTGGTGCTTGCTGGCATCAATGCCGTGCATTGATTTGAGGGAGTGATGTACTTCTACCTCTCTTATCATGGGAACACCTAGACCAGTTGTCTCAGTCTCTTAGAGAAGACTGCAGCGCAACATCCATGACTCAATACAGAACAATCCCACATTCCTGGATTACTTAACATACCTGCATCCCATATTATACTTATTTACTAAATTACATGTGGGTGCTGAAAGTAGTTGCTTCAGTGTAATAATCTTCAACAGTGCCAGGTCTGTTAATTAAACAGAAACAATTAACCCTTTTCTGTATGATATTGTGCTTCACATTTTCTCCATAGAATTTCCTTATAAAAAGGGTCTGGAAATTTCTACAGGAAAGTGAATATACAATAATTGTTTGAAAAGTTGTTAAATAGAGCTGACATCTTCACTCAACAGTTGTTTTACACATCGTCTACAGACGACAATCCAATTGGAGTGGTATTTAACATTGCTTCTCAACTGTGATCCTAAAACCAGATTAAGACTTTCTGCTACTTGAGTTCACTTTTCAGAAATATTGGGAATAGAGTGACACAATGACAACAACAGCAAACTGTAGAATACTTACATATATATTTTTAATAGGGCTTGGAAATCACACCACAGAAAAAAAACCCAAAGAGAATACTGTAAACCTATTAATCTGCCAGATGTTTCTCATCAATTTTTCAAATTTCTAAATACCTATTTGAGGCTAAGGTATCAAGGATGTCTTCAAACTTTCTAAAACAAAGATCCCTCTTTTCATATGAGCTCAGACACTTCTACTATGATTCTGAAGAAAGATTCTGAAAATTTTAAGCAACTTAAATGTCTAGCCAGTGGTTTCACTTGCTCTAATTATCCGTAATCAAGGACTAAGCAATGTTAATTTTTTACGAGCAAATCTAAGACTCTTGCTAGTCTTAGACTGTGAAACTGCACGTGGATGCAATAACTAGTGATTTAAAGAATAAGACTGACTTTATCATGTAAAATCATCCTTGGATTGCCATTTTTTTTCCTGACAATTACAATTGATTGTGTTTCTTCAGACTGCGAAGAGCATTCTCTTAATATTTACTTGTGTAACGTGTTTACCTACAACAGACGGAATGGGTTTCTTGACAATAATAAATACTTCTGTCATATTTTAATCTAAATAACCCAACTTCGGCACTTTTGAAAATATATTTCTCTCTCAACAGACTGGAGCAGCTTAGCGTACTTTACAGTAAACGGAAACTCTCGAGCCCGGACGCTACATTTTGCATGACAAAAGAGAGCAACATTATTACCGCGGTTGTTTTGAAAATGTTACATCTTTGCATTTGATACTGCAACATCACTGCGGCATTTTAAATTACGCGTTTCCCCAGCTACAAATTCAATAGTTTACCCATTTTGCACTATCCGTGCCGATTTGTATGAAATAGCGAAACAATATAAAATATAACACAGAAAACGGTTCAGGCAATTCCGTACTTAATTCTGTTATGGGAATGGTAAACCAAATATAAATATAAATATCTAAGACAACGGTAAAGACTGAACATTAGGGGAAAATCGTATGTGTCCTACAGCTCACCAATGCACTGTAAGGCCTAGTGCAATGGTTAAGGCCAGAGCCTTCATTATCTGAAACGATTGAAATGCCGTCTTCCGGGTTTACACGTTGTATTTCCAACGAAGCGGAGATCTACAATATTTAATCTTGCACAGGGTACCTTTGCAAAAGACAAACGTACGTTTCTAAAGCGCTCGGTAATGCACACCACTCATCTGCATCTCCATGACAACGACCCGGACTCTGAAAATGTGAAATCGGCGTGAACGGTGAAGGAATGTCATCACAAATCTGAGATCACACACACACACACTAAGAAATCTAAAACAGCCGGACATTTACCCCCACCAGTACGACGATCCACAACCGTGAACGGTAATGTTAAAAACTGAAGCACTTACCACTTTACCAAAAGGGTTTTCGTCGTTCGGTTTCGGTGAAAGGGAAGACCACAGCACCACCAAGCCTAAGAAAGTCCCTATTATCAATAAACTGCGGAGGATAAAACCTACTTTTAACCTCATTTTTGCGTGCAATCGTTAAAGTGTGCGCCTGCCAGCGAACAACCCCGGCTCTCCTGCCCACCGGCCGAGCCCGTGTCTGTCCCTCGCAGCCCCCCCGGTCCTGCTCCGCTCCCTATTGAATCCTTCTCGCCTCTCTCCGGCGCTGCCCACTCTCTCTGCCTCGCAGCCCCAAGCAAAACTTTTCAGCACACACACACACAGCAGCGACGGCGGCGGCGGCAGAAACCAACAGCGGCAGCTTTATCAGCGACTTCACTAACAAGGATACGAAACCGCAGTCCAGGAAGTCGAGGGCATGCCGAAAGCTTACTGGCTGACCTTCAGTTGAATCCCATTGAAGACTGTTTGCTTACAACACACCTGGCAAATAATAAAAAAAAAAACGATTGGATTTGAGCAGTGTTACGTGGCATGTAACTGTTGCATGTTGCATGTAAGGCTAATCATGGGCGTATATATTACATACATTATTACATTATACACCCATATATTATCACATGACTAATAATGCGGGTGTCAGTCTACCCTTCTGTGAGTTCTATAAAATCAAGTGCGTCCTGTAAACAAGCAAGTTTATTCACTTTATTAGCTGAAAAACGGCCATTGTCGTAAGATCGAACCACTTTAAAAGAGAAGAAAAGCTGAAGATGGCTCGATCGCTTTTTAAACCTGCTGTGTTTCCTTGCCCCTTTTAAAGCTAAATTCTGCTGCCCCTTTTCTACTTAAGTCTGCAAGGAAGGAGTTTCAACGATGTCATTTACTCATTAATGATGCTTGGGCATTCAACCAAATAATATACTGTAGCTCTTGACAGTATTGTATATTATGGGGATATAGAGTTGCCAGTTGTTTCATGATACCCATGACAGAGTGGACTTCGACATAACATTGTCCTGTCCACTTCGGGTTTACGTCCTGTATTTAAAATAAATCATATTTTAGTATCATCTAGTTCAACTAATTGATCCACACAGTGACTTCACACTAGGTGTTGAAAATCAATTTACCATGTATTGTTTTAGAATTAACAATCTCATCCTGACTAATGAATAATTAGTAATCATGACTCCTATGCTAATGTTAGTTTTTGATTGGAACTGACTAGATGTGTACAATTGAAACTGACCAAGAGGAGCACGTTTAGGGAAAGATTTGCAATTATGAGAGGGCACAACAGCTGATCTTGTGTGAAAAGACATGTGGTAACAAAAGTAATTGAGAGTTCACCTCCAGCTGGGTTAAGCCCCTGTGTGGTGACAGAAGTGAGACGAGACCAGGAACTTCTGAAAGCCGCTAAACCAAGCAGGATGCACCCCTGGAAAGAGATAAATGACATTTTATCATTGCTCTAAATGAAGGTAAGCGGCTAGTGTCAAAGAGTTGTTCGTTTCCAACCCTATCGGTATTACATGTTAAAGGGGACCTGCAGTCCCAATTTGTCGGACCGGTTATTATAAATCTCGGTAACAAAATTAAATTCATTGATGTTATAGGAAAAAAATGACAAATTTCAAAAACAGGCACAAAATCTTGAATTTTGTGAAAGTACTATAAGTCACACACCCCTGGACGCACCACAGGTGAGACTGAGAGTTCCCATGAAGTGCAACGCAATGGTGCCCTTCCTGCTCACTAGGAAGCACTAGTCACTAATGTCATGTCATGTACGAGCGAAAAAGTAGAGGTTGTGCAGCAGACATTTCACCACAGAAATGCTCCGACCTGATCTGTACGCAGAGTTAACAAGGAAGTAGTATTTGTCAGCAAAACCATCTCAAAAGTGAGAGCAAAAGTTCTATTGGATTAATAGAGATATATTCAGAAGCCTGCTTGTTTACAATGTCATAGGGCTGCACATGTCACTGGACGTTTTGTTGCCTCGTTCTGAATAGCAGGACATGGTGCTGCCCATACCTGGAAATTTTGTCTATTTTGTGTTGAAAAGTTTTACGAGTTACTGTGTACATTTTACTCTTGTGGTTTGAAATGCACTCATCAGTCCTGATCCTTTCTATCCCCGAAATATAAAAAGAGCCTCGCAGTTCCCCTTTAAAAGAAAGGGCCAATTAATGAGATAGAGCTCTTTCAGTCAGAATTACTGATAGTATTGGTTGCTCCCCTCCATGTCCTGCAGGTCAAAAAGGAAATACAAAGTACACTACCTTGGCACTACAGCAGGGTCGACAGAAGATATTACCCCATTTTGACTGATACCTGTCTGGTAGCCACTCCCACAGCATGGACACAATCTCAAAGAGAAGCAGGAAAAGCTGATTGCAATGGTCCTGTCTGTGTTACATGAGGCCCAGAGGCCCATAGTATGTATTTTGCATCTGGTTGTTTTATTAAAGTTAATTTTGAGTTAAAGATCATGATAGTGAAAGCATTATAATTGGAGAAAGTTGTTAAAGTGGTTTCCCTTTGGAGCTGAGAGGTATACCGAATGCACTGCTTAAAGTGTTGTAAAAGCAATCAATGAGTTGGCAGTGTTGACTTTAATGGTGTGGTCCTGCCCCATATTTGACAATTCACCTGCCTGAGGTTCTTTTACACTGATTCAACAAATACTACTTCGAGGTACAGGAAATGTGCTGTATATTTTCTAGCCCACTGCAGTCTTGCAAAATATACCCACTGATGTTGAACTCAAGACTGTCATCGTCTGCTACACAGTCCTTAATCTTATGACTTCAGTTTGGATCATCCACTTTTTGGCGTTTCAGTAAATCTCAGTTTGTTCTGTCCTAAAGCCCCACGTCCCGACCTAGCTGTGAAATCAAGGGACGCAGAACAGTGCATTATTCTGAAACTGTAGGCTGGTCGCTGTAGTATGTGTAATAGTTCCTCATCCCTTTCTCTGGTCCCACTGGGCCAGCTGTGCCCTTGCACCTGTCATCAGTTTCTCCTCTGCTGCACACAGCCCTCTCTATCACCATTCGGTTCGTAGCTCACACAGCTTTCTGCTACAGTAGGTATGTGTCCCTCCTAGATAGCTCTACTGTGTGCAATTGCTGGATAATCTAAAAGAAGTTAACTTGGATTGAATAACGGTATAACCCTTTTTAAAACTGAATTACACCGGCAAACAAAAGTTCTGGTATCTTCTGCATTTGGTGCAATCTTAACAAGGGCAGACTCTAACCCTTACACAATCACCACCTTAGCTAGCCCTAACACTTGTCGTTTGTAAACCCTTCATACGGGCTTACATGCACCTGAACACCTCCTGATTGCCAGACCCTGGAGCACTTTAAACCCTGCCCTTCAAGTAAAAAGTTTCTATTTGTGCTGGAAACTTGTTGAACAAGAATTAATTCTCAAAGTAATTATTAATATTACTTACTATGTGTGGTTGGATGTTGTAAGATTCATTGTTTTTGCGTTCATACTATAAACAATTACATTTTTGTAATATTTTTTAAAAACACAGTACAATTGTAGAAGGGTATAGACTTCTTACATCCATAGAGTGTGGCGGGATTATTCTGTGTGGGTGGTCCCCACCTGACTACCTAAAGGTTGCTGGTTTAGGGAACACATCAACAGGTATGAAACTTGATGCAGAAAACGTCATTCAGTATTTTCACGGCTGTACTCGTTTAATGAACGACATTCTAACAGCAATACACGGTTTTGATCAAATAATAACACATAAAAACTCAAAGTAATATACAAAATTCTGTAGAAAAAAATCAATGATATTTTCACTGTTTACTCAAGTTTTCAAGACATCTTTCTCTCGAGCTCCTTATTATAAATAAACATTAAATCAATGTCTATTTATCGCGAGTGTTTCTTACCACGTGGTGCTTCAAGAACGGAACTATTCGCGTAACAGCAGAACTGTTTTTGCAATAAAAAGTCTGTGAGTCCGCAGCGGCCTCTAGGGGCAGCCCCGTGGTCTGCATACTCTCACCACAAGGCGTGTTACAAAATTAAAAAGATTGCAACCCCCTAACTATAATACCGTATTGCATGGCTTAAAAAATATATATAGCATGGCTTAACTGACGGAAGTCTGAATGGCACCTATTCAAAGCACAACATGTACAAAGGAATCAAAAAATGACTACAAATCTCTGACGTCAAATGATACCAGAACGTTGCAGCTTTGCAATTGTCATGTTAACTCAAAATGTTTCTGGTAGGTATGATTCTAGGACAGGGGACCTCCCGGAGGGTCAGGCATCTTCTGGGGTTTGTTCGACACAAGCTGTGAGTTACACAGCTGGTCTAACTATCTGTATTAATGGCATATGTAATATTTCTAACCTGGCTTTGAGGTGTCTTATAGAAAATTGTACTGTGAATGTTCTGTTCCGTAACTGCAGAATACCTTAAGAAACGTCCTACTGGTCTGAAACATAGAAAATAATTAGCTTACTGTTCAAATAAGGGCTCCAGTGGCACCGTCTTGTACAGGCTGAAGTTTTAACAGTTCATTTCTTTGAAATGCGGGCAGAGAGAGCATGGTGATAATTAAACTGTCTGATAACAGAAGTGTGAAGGAGTTCCACAGCATCTACCACAGAAAGACAAAGTCCAATGTGGAATACTGCATAGGTGAATCACTGAAAGCAGTATTTAGGAGAAGAGACGGAACGCCCCGGATTTGTATGCCGAGTGACACTTCTGTCTTGTTAGTGTTTCACTTGTGTAAATGTAGCAGAATCATCATGTATCATTGTATTAACAATTTTTTTTTTAGTTTCAGAAAAGTTGTCACATCAGAGACTGTTGTACAAAATTGGGAAAGAAATAGTGTGTTCCACCTATCTATTTTTCTTATCAATGTCTGTACATTTTGTTTTATTTGTTGCAATTCTGAAAAGCCAATAAAGTTTTCCCAGAAAATAAAGCAATAGAAATGAGTTGTACGGATCTGTATGCATTCCAGAGTAGCCTGAAGGAAATATAAAAAAAGATATTGACCAAGATAAATAAGGTAAAACATGATTCTTGATAATAATAAATTACTACATGTATTTCATATTTAGACACAAATGCAAATTTGCAATTTGCACTCACCACTGTGAGACAATTCATCACCATCCTCTTTCTAATGAATCTTTTTTCTATGAGGCAACCAAAGTGTTAAATGTGGTGTTTTCCTTATTCAGATCTTCATACAGTAGTTCCATTTTCCTTCCACGTTCCAAAGTGTATATCCTTTGTAACATGCCATGTATCTGAAAGGAGCTGTTTTAAAGTCATGCCATACGGTCTTCAGCTTAAGCACTGCCTTGTGGGAAAAGTGAGTAATGAAAATGCCTGCCAGTTGTGGGATCTGGTACTCAGATCGTTGGCAACATTTTAGGTTTTTTTTGAATGATGGGTTT